CCACTATCCACAATCCTCTCTAATAGTAATAATAATCACACGTATATGTGTCATATGTATATATAGACACATGTGTGTCTATATACATATACATGCACACACAGCTTTATAATTTGTAAAGGGCTTTTGTATCCATGATCTCATTTGATGTCACACTCAGAAAGGTGGGCATTTGCAAGAACCTGAAGAGATGAACAGTTCTGAGTCTCTTTTAGGAAGCTTTGGGCCAACTCATGTTAGGGGGTCATGTGTCTACATGATCTGGTGAGAACAGTTTGCTGTCTTCTGTACAGTACCTAAATAAGGCCAATACTGAAGAATTAAGAACATAACAATAACATCCCTGCTGCTGCTAAACTTGTTTCAACCTGATACCCCCCAAAGTTGCCAACCTTCTACAGAGCAAAGACTGGGACTGAATATCTGGAGACCTTGGTGATGCTCCTCAAAGCCCTTTCCAGCCCAAATTCAAGTGCCAGAGGAGATACCCCCACCAGGTGATGAGAATCCCATTGTAACCTGGGCCCAGATCCTTACTTTAGACCCACCATGTACTATCATAATAGAATCTCAGAATTAGAAAGAACCTTGGAAGTCTTCTAATCTCATCTAGAAAAGGCTTTGTTTAATCAATTAATCAACAAGCATTTATTAGGTGCCTGCTATGAACCAGGCACTATGCTAGGTGCTGGGGACACAAAGTCAAAAATCAAACAGTCCCTGCCCTCAGGGAGGGTTAACACTCTACTATGGGGAACCAACATGTCCATTAAAAAGTATATATTGAATGAATATCAAATGCCTGCCAGGTAGTTTAGAGACAGAGGGCACTAGCAGTTGGATGATCTGGAAAGGCTTTGTGTTCTCGGTAGTGAGCTGACTGTGCAAGGAAGTGAGGCAAAGATGAGGGAGTGCATCAACCGACGTGGGAGATGGTCAGTATAAAGTGTGGAGAGAGGAGATGGAGAGTATTGTGGGAGGAAGAACAAAAAGGTCAGTTTTCATATAGGGTAGTCCTTAGAGGATGAGGTTTTGGAGAACTTTAAAGGTCATAGACAAGAGTTTCTTTTTAATCTTAGAGCTTGCTGACTATTAGGAGTGTGACACAGTCAGATCTGCCCTTGAGGAAAATTACATTGGCAGCTTCATGGAGGATGGATGGGAGTGAGGAGAGGCACCAATTAAGGGGTTGTTGGAATAATCCAGGTGAGAGGTGATGAAGGCCTGTACTAAGATGGCAGCTTTGTCCATTGAGAGAGAGAAGAACAACATATGTTATGGAGATAGAATCAACAAGATTTGGCAACTGCTTGGGTGTGTAGGGTGATGGAGAGTAAAGAGGCTAAGGTAACGCTGAGGTCATGAACTTGAGAGACCAGAAGGATGGCGATTGAGGAAATACTCCAAATGGTCACACCGCATATGGAAAAAGTACCCAAATGGAAGTTAGAAGACCTGGTTTTGAAACTTTGCTCTGCCACTTATGAATTATGTCATCTTGACAAGTCACTTGACTCAACTTGGCCCCAATGTCTTTGTCTATAAAATAGGTATAATAAGACCTGTCCTGCCTGCCTGACAGGGCTGGTGTGATATCAGGTGAGGTGATGGATATGACGGCCCTTTATAGCAAACTTTAAAGTCCTCTATACAGAGGAGGCAGTGTGGGATAATGGAAAGAGTCTTGGTTTGGGAGTCAGAGGATTTGAACCCATATCTGGTCACTTGCTAGCTGAGTGACTGTGGGCAAATCCCTTTGCCTCTCTGGGCCTTAGTTTCCTCATCTGTACAATGAAGGGGAGGATTGGATTAGAAGACTAAGATTCCTCCTAGCTGTAACTCTGTGAGCCTATGATCTGTGTATGGCATCATTACTATTACAGTTACTAGTATCATCATCATTCTTGTTAGATACCATTGGCAGTTTATTTGGGGAGGCTCATTGTCAGATTGACTGCTAGAGGATGGATTTTTTTTTTTTTTTTTGCCGTAAAATCTTTGCTACTTTGGCTGAAAGCAAAAGTATATGTGGAGAGTAGGGGTGGGAGCAGAGCTTAGCCACAGCAAACCCTTAGGCAAAGCTTGCTGTGTTGAGTCATTTCAGTCGTGTCTGACTCTTGGTGACCCTATTTGGGCTTTTCTTGGCAAAGATACTGGAGTGATTTGCCAATTCCTTCTCAAACTCATTTTTAGAGATGAGGAAACTGAGGCAAACAGGGTTAAGTGACTTGCCCAGGGTCACACAGCTAGTAAGTGTCTGAGACTGGATTTGAACTCGGGTCCTCCTGACTTCAGGCCTGCGATCTATCCACCACACCACCTAGCTGCCCCTGTGGGAAATTGGAGAGCCAGAGAGTCAAGTCAGCAGGCATCTACTTAAACTACATATCTGAGGAGGCTGCAGTAGACAAGGGGTCTCAGGCGCTTCTGTGTGTAGCTTTGGAGCGATGTTAGTATTGTCTCTCCTCCCCTCTTCACACTGTGTGCTTTGCTCCCTCTTCACCTTCCTCTGTACCTGCAGAGGGCCTTCGAGTCCAGGCAATGGCCTCACATATTTTCTTGGAGATATTTTTGACTTGGAGGTAGGGGGATGCAGGCGAGGGCCATCAGTGCTGGGTCTTCGAGGGTCTCAGCCCGAGTGAGGATGACAGGGTCATGGACATAGATCACAGACTGTGCAGTAGAATGTAAGCTTCTTTGGAACAGAGGCAGGATTGCCTTTGTCCAATTCTTCAGTGCCCACTGCGGTGCTTGGCACATAGTAGTGCCCATTAAATGTCTGCTGGATTGAATTGTTTGTATGGGGTCATGAGGTTTAGGGTTAGCTAGCTATGTCTTCTGATGCATTGGTAAGTCTTATTGAAGAGGACTGTGGAATGAAGAATCCAGACAGCTGTGGGGACTATAACACAGTCTTTTCTTTTTTTTTCTTTTTTATTCTCCTGAACTATCAGGGAACTGAGCCTTGAGCCAGATGTTCAATTCAGCTTGGTCAGGCAACCAACAAGTATTTACGAAGCACCAAGTATGTGCAAAGTCCTGTACTAGGTAGGTTCTGGGAATACAGAGTCAAAATGAATTCCCTGCCCTCAAGGAGCTTGCATTCTTTTTTTTTTTTTTTTGCCTAGGCAATGGGGTTAAGTGACTTACCTAGGGTCACACAGCTAGTGAGTGTTTATGTGTCTGAGGCCGAATTTGAACTCAGGTCCTCCTGACTCCAGGGCCAGTGCTGTATCCACTGTTCCACTTAGCTGCCCCAGGAGCTTGCATTCTTAACAAAAACAACAACTGAAGGGCTATTGAATGCTTTTGTGTTTACATCATTATCATTTCTATAAATGTTCTCCTCCCATCCTCCCATTGAACCCTTTGTCATAATGAAGAAAAACAGTTTGAATGTCTGATAGTGTATACATGACTCTGCTTTTGTGGTTTACCCACTTCTTTTTGCAAAGTGGAGGGATGCTTCTTCATTAGCTGTCTAAGGAGTTTACCTTCTGATGGGACAGCTGTCGGAATGGATGCTACACTACATCCTTTGACCAGAATGCCAGCTGCTTCCTGGGGTAGGGCAGCAGTCTCATACATCCAGTGCCCAGTGAGGATGATTCAGGTCCTTAGCGGTCACTAAGTTGTGGCCACATTCCTTTAAAGCAACGTCCGCAACAGTGCCTGGCACCTTAGCAGAGTGTTTTATTCAGTGAGTATTTGTTGATTAAGTGAGATAATGTATGCAAAGCATTTTGTTGACTTAAAGGAGTATATAAATGTAAGCTATTGTTATTATTAATATTACCATTATTATTATTATTAATGAAAAAGCTGTTTAGTCACGTCCAACTCATTGTGACCCCATTTGGGGTTTTCTTGGCAAGAGATACTAGAGTGATTTGCCAGTTCCTTTTCAAGCTCATTTTTACAGATGAGGAAACTGAGGCAAACAGGGTTGAGTGACTTGCCCAAGGTCACACAGCTAGTAAGTATCTGAGGCCAGATTTGAACTCAGGAAGATGAGCCTTCCTGACTCCAGGCATAGTGCCCTGTCCACTTCACCACCTAGCTGCCTTGGGCACATAATAGGTATGCAATAATGGAATCATAGATCTACTGCTGGAAAGGACTGCAGAGACCATGAAATTCAACTCTTCCATTTTACAGTTGAGGAGACTGAGGCCTAGACAGGTTGTGGATTTCCCAAGGTCAGAGGTAGTAAGGGACAAAGGTAAGAATTAGAACTCATTGCCTCTGACTCCAAATCCAGGGCTGTTTTCCCACTGTCCCCTGTAGCCTCATTTGAGTTGAATCATACACATCCAGGACTTTCTCCCAGAGCATGTGACAGATCCTCTCAAGTGAAGGTCTAAGGAAGGTCACAAGGTAACTGTCCTGATATATGCCCCATGTTTTGGACCCCAGTGGAACCAGGAGAGATTCCTTGTGTTGTTCTTGCTCCTCCAGGGGTTCTAGGGCTGGGTTTCTCATCTGCCAAATGGGGATAATGAATCTGGCATGGGGACATGGGTGCTGGGAGGGATAATTAGTTAGAGTTTGGAAGAAGCTGCTTGTGCAGGTGGGGTCAGGCCAGGCAATGAGTGGAAATCTCTCCAGGATGCATTCCTAGCTTTGACTCTTTGTTCTTGGCAAAGCATCAGGGCCTGACATGACAAAATATGTCATCTCACCTGGTCTGGCAAATCCCAGGTTCCCTTTCTGCCTCAGAAAGGACAGACCCTGTTCTCTTCTTCAGTGCCGGGCATCTCCTTCTTCATGTGTATCTAGTGAACTACTCACTCCTAGCTGTGAAAGAGTCCTGAACTGTGGTCTCAAGTCAAACACTTCTCCCTGTTGAACTCTGGTCTGGCTTCCTTCCTATGCAACTTCTCCTGGTTTCTATCTGGTTTTAAATATTGCCTTCTGAAAAAAACAATCTGGAGATCATCCCAGTTCTTATCATTCATCACTTCTTTATTTTCTTCTCTTCTCTCTGTCCACACATCTAGCTGTCTCCTGAAGAAGAAGAGAAGAGAAGAATTAGGAGAGAGCGAAACAAGCTGGCAGCGGCCAAGTGCCGTAATCGACGCCGGGAGCTGACTGAGAAGCTGCAAGCGGTAAGAACTATTGCTTTTGGTGAAAGAAGGCACTAGGCTCACTGCTCTGACACCTTGTCCTCTCTAGACCTCGGGAATCTGTCAATCCTAAAGCAGGTGATGGCATGGACCTACCCCAATATAAAAATTTCCAGCCTTGGGGCATCTAGGTGGTGCAGTGGATAGAGCACTGGCCCTGGAGTCTGGAGGACCTGAGTTCAAATCCAGCCTTAGATACATAACACTCGGCAGCTGTGTGACTCTGGGCAAGTCACTTAACCCCAATTGCCCTCACCAAAAAAAAAAAAAAAATTTCCAGCCTTCAAAAGCCAGTGTGAGCCTGTTTCTGCCCATGCAATCCATAATTTAGGCCCCTCCATTTCTAAACACCTCAAACATTAGGGGCTACCTCAAGTAGAGCTTCTCTCCCAATCTAAGATCAGTAAAAAGATGTTTTCCCCAAACTCCAGAGTTTGGATTCCATTTTTGGCAAAGATGAGTCATATTCTATGACTGTGCACCTTAAATTCTTCACGTCCTTTCTTGGCATGAACAACCTAACCTCACCCCACACCATATCACGTGAGTGCCTTTCTCTGTGGTCTTGGCACCTCCATTCTGACCTTGTGAGTCACTCTCTCCAGCTCCTTAATCACCCAAGCTTTTGGGTGTCCATGACCTTTTCCTCCCTGACCCTTGATCTGACCAGTCTCAACATCATCCCAGTTAAAGAGTCTATAGCTCAACCCCCTAAGAAGAGAGAATAGAAGATCTGGATTGGGTCCAGATCCTTCTAGCCTCATTCAAAGATGTCTATGGGAAGGAGAGTACATCCTGGGTACATCTCTTTTGGCATGAGAGATACCCTTACACAGGAATAGTGTTTTGCACTAGGCAGTTCTCCAACCTCCTCATTTCCTAGATGAGAAGGCGTAGATACAGAAAGTTGAAGGAACTTGCTCAGAATTACAGAGGTAGGAAGTGGGAGGGTCAGATTGTGAACCGATGTCCTGAATTCAAATCTAGGGTTCTATCTGTCCTGCCTTTTCCTGGAGTCCATGGGGCCCTTCAATGATGACTCTTTCCTAAGTGAATTCTGCAGTGTTGAGTTTTCAGGATTAGGTGGCAGGGCTATTGTCAGAGACTGCATGAGGGTGCTTTTTTCTTCAAACCCTAAGTGAGTAGGCAAATTCATGATAATAGATTCACAGGAATGGGTAGAGAAGGAGGGGAGGGGGTGTAGAAAGGGATGACATAAGGCTAGAACCATGTCATTTAGGATCGTTGCATCAGAGCTCCAGAGCTTGAAGATTCAGAAGCAAACCCTAGTTTGATAAATGAGGAAACTGAGGTCCAGGGTAGGTACATGATTGGCCCAAGGTCACATGGGAGGCAGAGGTGATTAGTCTTTGTCTTGGTATCTGGACATTGTTTTATTGGTATCTGAAAACTTTCCACTTTCTAGTTATGTCTTTCCCCACAAATCCCAATTCAGTTAATTCATAAAATCACAGATTTAGAGCTGGAAGGGACCTTAGGGCCATCTAGTCCAATTTCCTCATCATTTTATACATAAGAAGACCTTGGCCTGGAGAGGATAAGTCACTTGCCCAAAGGTCACAAAGGCAGTAATTAGCAAAAGTGGGATTTGACTCTAGAGCCCCGTTGCTTCAATCTGAATATTAATTAAGCACCTGCTGGGGTCCGAGGCTGCACAGACCAAAACAAAAGAGTCCCTGACCTCAGAAAATTGACATTGTCCTGGTCCTCAGAGAATCCTGACCCTCCAAAGCCTAGAGTAAACCCTTGCAAAGTCCCCGTGTTCCTCTTTGAGGCCATGCACCTTGCCCCTCCCTTCCCCTCACAGGTCCCTCGGCCACATCCTCCACAGGAAACCTCTCATAAGCCCATGACGCTTGTCAAACTCTTGAGGCAGATGGAAACTTTTCTTTTCTCCTGTAACTGTCCTTCACATCCTGCTTTGTATGACTCTTGTCTATGACCCTTCCTTAAATAGGAGTTTGCATTGGGTGGAGGTAGAGGGCAGCGTGTAGAGAGGGGAGCAGGCTGGTATTCATTCCCCTAGAGATTTCTTGGTATATCTTATCTGGCTATATGATCAACCTTGAAAGGTGAAGAATAAATGTTGACTCCCGAAATGAAATCTCGAGGCCCTTTCTGATGGAATTGGGGAGGAAAGGAAGGGAAGGGGGAGAGAATAAACATTTATATATGCTAGGTACTGTGCTAAATGTTTTTTAGTAAATATTATCTCATTTGATCCTCACAACAACCCTGAGAGGTAGGTGCTATTATTATTTCCATTTTACAATTGAGGAAACTGAGGCAAACAGAGGTTAAGTGACTGCCCCAGGGTCACTCGGCTAGTAAGTGTCTGAGGCTGGATTTGAATTCAGGTATTCCTGACTCCAGGCACAGCACTCTAACCACTGCTCCATCAGCTGCCTGAAAGAGAAAGTGAATTTGGGTTTGAGGATAGAAGTTGGGAGGAAGGATGGAGCGTAGGAAGAAAAGGCTACGTAGATTCCCAGGAGGTACTGGTTTTTCAGCTCTTGTTTTAAATATGATGAGCTTGTGATGCACATAGGACATTGAACTGGAGATCCCTCTGTGATGTATACTATTGCTAGTACCTTGAAAAATTCAATCATCCTCCCTAGGCCTCAGTTTCCTCATCTGTAAAATGAGAAGATTTGACTGGTTGTCCGATGAGGTCCCTTCCACCTCTAAAACTATGATCCTATGACCTCACTCAATAAAGCATCCCCATATACTGGCAGCGGACGTCCCATGATTATTCTAGGAGACAACATTTTCCTTTCCTTTCCAAATACCCTTTTCTCCCATTTCGTGTGCTAACCTAGATTGGACTTTGGAGAAAAGAAGTATCTTATCTTCCAAGTGTTTTAGAATCCTTAACTTTGGGTCCAAGATGGTAAGGTGGGGTGCTATTATTCATTCATGTGTTCATTCATTCATTCAACCAAAAGACTAATTAAGCGCCTATTGTGGGCCAGGCTCTGAGGGAAAAACAAAGCTTAGATATAACATAGGATCATAAAATAAAGGATAACAGATCTAGAACTTAGAAGAACCTCAAGATTATCTGGTGCAATCCTTTTGCATGACTTCTGCATGACGGGAACTTACAGTCTAGTAGGGTATTAGCCTAGTAAGGTACATATGCAAAAAATTGGAATACAAACATGACAAGCTCATTTGAAGGTTGCAAATAAAGTACAATGTGAGGTCTTGGGGGAAAGTCATTACCAATAGGGATATCAGGGCAGGCTTCGTGGAGTATTTGAGCTGTTGTTTAACAGATGGGTAAGAATGCAACAGGGAAAGAGGAGTGGGTGTGGCATTCTAGGCATCGAGAACAGTGTGTTGGGGTGGGTAGAGAGCAGTTGACTTTGGCTTAGGGCGTAGGGAGCATGTTATGAGACAAAGATGGAGAAGGTGGGTGGAACCAGCAGCAGGTCTCTCCTGATTCATCTGGGCAGTCTTCTTCGGGTCCATGTTAAATGAGATGTCTTTACAGAGTTCCTTCCAACTCTTAAGATGCCGTGTGTCTTTGATTTTGTGTCTGGGTCCACAGAAATTGTTAGTGGTTACCCCTGAGTCTCGACCTGAGACGCCGTACCCTGGTCCTCTGGCATCAAGGGCCCGGATTTCAGTCCTGACTCTTGATTCTCACTCCTTGTGTGGCCTCGGGCCTCGGTCTCCTCATCTATAAAACGAGGGGGCTGGACCAGGTGGCCCTGAGGTTCTTCCAGCTCTTTATCTATGATCTTTTGGTCCTGCGGTGTGTTAACAACGAGAACATAGACAGAAAGCTGAGGGTCCTTCCTTTGACTTCACTTAATTTCTCTTCTTCTCCCAACAGGAAACAGAAGAGTTGGAGGAGGAGAAGTCGGGGCTGCAGAAGGAGATAGCTGAGCTGCAGAAGGAAAAGGAGAAGCTCGAGTTTATGCTGGTGGCACATGGGCCCGTGTGCAAGATCAGCCCCGAAGAACGTCGGAGCCCGCCATCCCACAGCCTGCAGTCTGTGCGCCCCGGCGGCGGGGTAGGTACTGTCGTGGTGAAGCAAGAGCCCTTGGAAGAAGAGATCCCATCCTCCTCTTCAGCCCTGGACAAGGCCCAGAGGTCCGTCATTAAGCCCATCAACATTGCCGGGGGCTTTTATGGGGAGGAGCCCCTCAACACCCCTATTGTGGTGACCTCCACTCCAGCCATCACCCCAGGCACCTCCAACCTGGTCTTTACCTACCCAAACGTGCTGGAGCAGGAGTCCCCCGTGTCCCCTTCTGAGTCATGCTCCAAGGCCCACCGGAGAAGTAGCAGCAGCGGGGACCAGTCTTCAGACTCCTTGAACTCTCCCACTCTCCTGGCTTTGTAACCCAGCTGGGCGCTGTCCTTCCCAGCTCTGGAGGGGAATGAAGGGAAGCCACCCTCCACCTTCTCCACTGTCTCCTTCCCAGGGACCAGCACACTGGCAGTGAGCGACAGCAGAGAGAGGGACACTACAGGAGAGCTTGGCTCTGGGGAGAATGAAGTGGACTCTGGCGGTGAGGAGTGCGAAGGACCTCAGGGCAGACCAGTGGATGAAGTGGGGACTCCCTCCTTAATCCCACAGGCAGCTCCTGTTACCTTCAAAACTTGGGAGAACTCTGTTTTGTGGACTCATGTATCTCCCTGAAGCTGGTCTGGACCATTGCTTTCCCTTTCTTCTGATATTGTATTTTGGAGTGATGGTTTCTTTCCTTGGCTTCCTTTCCCCCGTGGGGGCACATTTGATGCCTTCCCTCCCACTCAAACCATTCCTGTTCAGCTTTATTCCCCTTATATCGATTTCTCTCCCTTTTTTGTTTCTCACCCTTCCGGGACATTTCACGAGGGTGGTCTGAGCACTTAAGACTCCCTTAAGAATCTTTATTTGTTTCTGGAGGTAGGGCTGTGAGTAAATGATTTTCCTTGAGTCTGAAGTGTGTGGCTTGGGATACTGGGCCTAAAACCAGGAAACAGGCCACCAAAGGCTCCCCCAGAGACATGCCCCATCCCTACCTCCTGGAGTTTGTGATAGAGCCAGCCCCCTGGCCTTTTCCACCCTCTGTGCAGAGCTGGGAGAGGCAGCTGCTGTGGCTGCTCAAAGAAGAAGGTGTTCGTGGAGGCAGGAGATGAGAGGCACAGCTCCCCGTGGGTGCGTGCCTGCGTATGTGCGTGCAGTCAGAGCTGGCTTTGCAAAATGCTTAATTACCAACCCAGGAATAGCGCCAACAAAGCCAGGAGGGTGCCAGCACTGGCTTCCCTCTCTTCGCTGCTGCCTCGAACAGGGCGTCTCCCATAATTACTGCCTCTCTACTTGGGCCAGGGACCCTTCTCTCTCCCGCCTGCCTGCCTCTGGAGGCCTCCCTCCCCTGGGAATCAAGGCAGCCCTCTCCAGGCTCCACCCTCTCCCCCTACAGACGCTCAGAGTGACGCCACCCACGGAGTTTTAATGAGCGTGGGCCAACTCTCCCCATCCCTACTGAGGCGGCCCCTCCCCAGCACTGAGGGGAGACACCACGATAAAGCATTGGCCTGGGATAAAAAGGGAATGGGGAGAGAGATGGGGTGGAGGAAGGAGGTAGTTGCTGGGATGGTTTTTTGCAGCTCTCTCTGGCACCCAAGCTCAAACAGACCATCTCAACCCCTATGCCCTTACTTGTCTCTGTTATTACACCGATGAGGACAGCTCCTGTCTCCTCTGGCACTTTGCTACCTGGTGGATTGACAGTTTTTTCTGCTTTAATCTCCCTCCTTCCCCTTCTCTTATGGTCCAGGCAATCCAGTGGCAAACACTTGGATGGGGACACTGGGCTGATTTTGCTTATTCAGGGTGGGGCCAGATCTGTTTGATCCCCCTGACTGCTAATGGCTGAGATAAACCTTCTCATCCTGCTGCCGTTGGGGAGCAGAGAGCCTCATTTTACATGTGGAAAGAGTCATCTGGCCTCCACTGAATATACAGCTTCTGCCTGGCCCAGCCCCTTTCCTTTTACCCCTCTAACTAAAGCCTCTGGTCCTGGGGTTAGGTAGGGGGTTCTCTTTTGGGTCCATTAACTTGGTTCCTATCAATCCTCCTGACCAGTAACTAATTGATCCAGTCACTTTGGTGGGCAGGTTTTCCTTTGGTTTAAAACCACTCCCACTGAGACATTCCTTTGAAGGAGACACACTTGCTCGCAATTAGGCTCCAAAGATTGGGTGGTGGTTTTTAAAACATTTATTTAAATCAAACCCAGTAGGGGCAGGTTTTCTAAATTGGACCCTGGAGTGAGCAACGAGACATTAAGCCCCTTCATTGGCTCACCCAGATCACTTTGCATATCTAATATAGATTGAGCACCCAACATCCATTGGTCACTTAGGAATTTGACATAGCTCCTTTCTAATGGTCCCCTGTGGGGTGGTGTGTGTGTGTGTGTGTGTGTGTGTGTGTGTGTGTGTGTGGTTGCTACCTAAGATGCTGGGAAAACCTAGGATAGGGGGAGGATGGGATCTCATTAAAATGCACATTTTTCTTAAAACAAAATAAAACACTCCAGTGCAAAATGCTTTAAAACCAATTTCATTTCCACATTCCCTGGCCCTGTTGGAAACTCCTTCCTGGTTGTCCAGGCGGCTCTGGGGACGTGATCCTAAGTGAACTTGAATGTTTTGGGTTTCTGACTTCTAGTTAAGCAAAGAACTCCTGAGTCAGCCAAGACCCAGCATGAAGTGGTGGAAAGTGAGTGAGGCATGCTTTATTCTTAAAGGGTTAATCATCTCTAGTTGCATTGGTATCCAAGCTGGAGCCCTTTGCTTTTATATGCATATACATATATATTAAATGAAGCTGCTTTTTTCTGGTCTTAAAAAATATCTTCTATTTCCCTTTCTGCCCAGGACTGACCTGAAGGTAGGTCAAAGTCTCTTCCACTGAGGCTATCCTGGACAATGAATAGGCATGAATCACGGGGTTTCATTCATTCATTCAACAAGCATCTGTTAAGTACCTACTATGTGCCAGGAACTCCACTAGGCTCTGGGGATACAAAACCAGAAGCAAAAATGGTCCCTAACCTTGAGCTTACATTCTTCACATTTAGATCAATCAGGCAACAAACAATAAGTACTTATTGTGTCCCAGTCACTATTAGGTAATGTGGGTACAAAGATAAAAATGATGTCCTTGCCTTCAGGGGTGTTTGTTGAGTTGAATAGAAAGCCATGTTGGGACTTTGGGACCATTTGTGGGCCAAAGCTAGGTGACCCATATAACACCTTCAGAAGGTCTTATAGCTTGAGGCCTTCTCCACTCAGGACCTGCTCTTCTGTGGGAGCGCTCTCAAAGATAATGGTTTTATTCAGGGAAGATGAAATTTGCACCTGATGATTAATATCTTCAATTTTCTGACCACTTCCTTCCAGGGGAACCGTCAGAGAGACTGATGCATCTACACACGAATACACACATATTTCTCCAAGCAGGAGTTAGTGTTAGGTCAGCTGACTCCTAGAAAAGAGTGTTGGAGTTGAGTTGGTTGGGTTGGGGACTGCTCTGTTTCCCAGGATATCGGGGTCAGTGAGGCAGCCCTTCAGCCTGGAGTCAGACTGGGCTGGGCAGAGCTTTCTGAGAAGGCTGGGGCAGGTTCTGAGCCGGAGTATGGAACGCCCAGTCTTTTCTGCTGCCTGGCTGACCTCTCTGAGAACAAGCTATTCTCTGGATGGACTGAGGAGGGCCAACTGACAGGGAAGGGAGGGAGGATCTAGGTGAAGCGTAGGAAATTGCCAGGGCCAGTTCCAAGAAAAGAAGATTGGCTTTTGTTTTTTGGGGGAAAAAAAATAAACACTTTCTTCTGCCTGCCTGGAGGGCTGTGTACATCCATTCTGGTCCAATGTCTTGAGTCATTCTCTGAAGACTCTTGACAAACAAAGCTAAGCAGAAGCTGCTGGTGGTGTTTCTCTTTTCTGCCTCAATGGAGGCTTTGCCCTTCATTGGGCTGCAGTCCTTCCCACAGCTCACGCTCTGGAGAGATAAAAGGTTTCTTCTCCTTTTCTTGAGGAGCAGTCAGTGCTGCTACACTCCCCCCACCCCCATTTTACCCCTGGGCAGTTTTCTTTCCCTAACTAGACACCCTGAGGACTATTTGTTTCCTCCTTTCTACCTCTAACTCTTCCTGAGACTAGAGTTGAGGGGATAGCATAGTGCCTGCTAGGTAGGGTTCAGCAGTAATAGTCAAACAGCTTGTTAAAAATGAAAGGGTTATCATTACAGTAGCTGCTGTCTTTGTCTTTTTCCTCTCTTCCCTTTTCTCCCTCCCATCCTTCTTCCTCATCCTCTTAATGAGGGGACTGGACTAGATGACTTCTGATCCTTCGTAGCTCCAACCTCTGATCCTCTGGTCCACCTCCTCTTTCTCCTCTTCCTTTCACTTCTCTCTCCCTCCCTCTCTGCTTTCTTCCTCTTCTCTTGAAGTTGACATTTTTCATCCCTCAACTTTGTTTCATCTCCCAGAATGAATAATGGCTTTGGAGTCAGTCACGATTATTACCTTTGTGAACTTTGAGCAAGTCACAGCCTCCGTGGGTCTCAGTTTCCTCATCTGTAAAACAATAGACTAACTATTCTCTGAGATCCTTTCAAGCTCTAAATCTAATACGATAATACTGTTGCTTCTTCTCCAGCACCTTTACTTTGGGGGTACAGTCCAAGACTAGCTTGGGATAGTCTAGGATGCACAATAAGTTCAGGGTAAGACAGTTTGCGGCCGATACAACTTCATTTTCGATCAATCCTTAACCAAACCTGTCTGAAGCCTTCATCATTTGTTTGTTTAGCCCTCTTTTTAAAAGCCAAGATCTCCTTATTGGCAGGCAAATGTGTGTATGTGTGTGACTGCTCCTACAAATAAAACCCAATCTAACTACCACTAACGATAACTTCCCATGCTCCTTTTTTCCTCCTAAAAATTAAAAAAGGAGTCATTTTGTGTTTTTATTTCCTGAATCCCCTAGCATGCTAGCAACAGTAGGATCCTAAAGGGGTGGGTCAAACATTGGGGGACGGAGGGAGAACGCAATCTACATTTATTTCATTATTTATTAAAATGTTTACATTTTCTTTGTGTTATTCTAAACCTGACTATAAAAAGAAAGCATTAAAATACTCAGTTCTGGGTTGTTGTTGTTGTTGGTTTTTTTTTTTTTTTTGGTAAGATTTTTTTAGGCTGATGATGCTTTTTTTTCCTTCTAAAATGGTTTGTGACTTGTGTTTGTATAAAATGTACAAAGAGGTTTTGTGTCTAAAAATGGATGTTCATTCCTTTTGGGGCAGAGGTCAGGAGGAAGTCTAGCATGGTATGAAAATATGATCAGAGCCCTGTTCCCTAGAAATTGTTTTCTCTCCCTGTGTGATTAAAAGTCAATTCCATTTATTCTAGTGTGTGGTTAATTAATAGTAAAAAAGAAAATACTCATCTGTGTATAGAGAATAGGTATCAGGGTATCTTATGTGGCAAGGGGAGGAGAAAGGAATTGTATATATTTTGATACATGTTCAAAATAATAAATCGTTGTGTATTAGAGATGTCATTGACAGACATTGAAGCCTGCTTTAAAGACCTTGAAAGGCAAAACAAGTCAAAGAAGATTCATACAGATCTGTGGGAAATCAAACGATTTCTTGAGCATCAGTTTGAGGTTTTACTTTTTTTCTTTTGTTTCCTTCTTAAAGTGATAGTGATTTTTTGCCTGGGATAAGGCCAAGGCAGGGCCTAGGGCCTGCGCTCCTGCCTTTTTGTGCAGTTGTGAAGATCATGAGCTTGCTCAGCCCCTGAAGCATCTCTGGCGCTGGATGTTTTTTGTTTTGTTATTTTACTGTAATACAAACCTACAGTATTTGCACTAAACAAAAAAAAAATAAGAAAAGAGAAAGCTTGTTAGAAAAAGCTTGCTGCTATGGAAGAAAGAACATATTGAAAAGTTTTTTGTTTTGGGTTTTTTGTTTTGTTTTTTGCTTTTTCAATTTAAACTGAGTAGCATTTTGTAGAATAAAATTAATTAAGATCAAAGAGCTTGATGTTGGGTTTTTTTTTTTCCTTTCTCATCCCTCTTCTTGCCTTTGGTATTGCCTCTAGAGTTTTTTTTTTTTTTTTTAACACGTCCTTTCTCCATGGTAAAGTTGTCTGTCTTCGGTGGAATTGGACTGGTAACTGGACAGCAAGAATTCAACAATTCAGTTCAGAAAACATTTATTAAGTATCTGCTATGTGTTGGACATTATACTAGCCCCTGAAGGATAGGAAGACAAAAACCAGACTAGTCTTTACCCTCAAAGAGCTTCCATTCTGCTGGGGGGCCCAGAACAACATCTAAACAGATAAGTAAATACAAGATACATAGAAATCATTTCGAAGGAGGATGCGCTAACAGCTAGGGAGGATGGGATCAGGAAAGGCTTTTTAGAGGAAGTAATCTGTGAGCTGAGCCTTGGGGGGAACCAGGCGTTGTAAGAGGTGGAGGTGAGGGAAAGCACATGGGTGTGGGGGACAGTCTGGGTTGGGGTACTACCTTGTAGGTAGTACTTTTGCCATTAGCAAAAGTATGAAAAGAGGCTAAGCCTAAGCTTAGGGATGCGTGTGTGTGTGTGTGTGTGTGTGTGTGTTTCAAAAAGCAAAGAAATGAAACTGTGAAGTTAGAAGACTTGGTCCTGTAAAGGAAAGACATTTGGGATGTGAAGGGCCTTCTCAGGTTATACCCACTGCTACTCTGCCTACTCTCTGAGGCTCCTCACTGCTTTTTTCCCCCACTGTTAGTTGTCTGTTCCCCGCCCCCTTTTTTTTGAGGCAATGGGGTTAAGTGATTTGCCCAGGGTCACACAGATAATAAGTAAGGCTAGATTTGAATTCAGGAGCTCCAAGGCCAGTAGTCTCTATCCACTGTACCACCTAGTTTCTGTGGCATTCACTTTGAAAATATCATTGGGTATAAGTGTAGTGCTCTCTCAGAAAGGGCAGTCCTGGCCACGTCAATACCCCCTACTGTGGAGATAGACCAGAGCAGTTCAATCAAATAGCTATACACACAAATAAGCACACAAATGTTTATTAAAAGATTGCTAAAAAAAAAAATAAATAAAAAATAAAAAACAAAACAAAAAACCAAAACAAAATAAAAAAAGGAGATTGCTAGGAGGAAGGCCTTATCCTAGGTACTGAGGGGGATGCAAAAGCACATAAACACAGGCCTGGTTCCTAAGGAGCTTAAGGTCATGCAAAAGAGATAAGACACTAACACTAATAATGATGATGCAATATAGAACATTATAAATGCTGCAATAGTGCAAGCAAAGTGATTTAATCTTTGGTATGGAAAGGAGATTCTTCTGAATAGGGTGATTTGGGAAGGCTTCATGGAGGAGAGGGCATCTGAGGTGAGCTTTGAAGGGTAGAGAGGAGTTCAATGGGCAGAAACTGGAAAAGTAGAAGGGGAAAGGTCATTCTAGGAGGAGGGAACAGCACAAGCAAGGAACTAGAGGTAGAAAAGCATAAGCTGGATGATGAATGGTTCACTTTGGCTGCAAAAGACAAGGAAGAAGTAGGAGATAAAGTCGGGCAGGTAAGTGGGAGCCAGGCTATTGAGGCCCATAGGCGATGAGGAGCCACTGGAACTTTGTGAGCAGGGAAGTGATGTGATGAGAGCTGTGTATTAGAAAGATTAAGCCAGTATCCATGTGTAAAATGGATTGAAGGTTGAAGAAACATTGAGGCCAGTAAGGAGGCTGATTCAAGAAGCCCGGTAAGAGAGAAAGAAGCACCAAAGCAGGGCAGTGACAGTGGAGTTGGACAGGGGGAAACAGAATACATAAATGTGCTGCACATTCCTGATTTCATTAATATAGACCTTGGTATGGAAGCCTGAGCTAGCAACATAGGTTACTGACCAAACCTAGGATTTAACAGATGAATCCTAGAAAGTTACCTGAGGTTCACAGAGGTTTAGCAGAAGGATTTGAACCCGCATCTTTCTAACTTCAATGGGATGAACACTACACCACAGCTATTTCTGTGAAAGATATTTACATTACTTATAATGAAAAGGAGATTACACTGTAATCTTACTACAAGCTACAGTGTACCTTGCTAAAGGAAAGGTTTTTAAAAAGCCCCCATCATCATCAATGCATCTTTAAGACAAGCACAGTAAAGATAAGCAAAAACTAATGAGAGAAATTATTTCTCTCTTGTATTCATCAGTAATTATTGAAATCGGACTAAGGTTTTTCTCCTTTTCTATATCCTCATTTAGAAATCAGCCCCAGTAGGTTATTCAAGCAGGCTTTGAAGTGTAGGGCTGATACTGAAAGGGAGAACTCAGATCTGTTCAAAAGGTAAAGAAATTTTAGTTTAGGTAAACTGATGGATTCTGACCCATTGTGTTTTATTCGGACACATCTGAGAAAATGCGAATTCTCCCTTTTGTAAGAGGGGTGATATGAATATAGTTAAGTCTCTGATCAAAACTGAGTGATCAGAGTCCCATGCCCCAGGCCCTCATTAGAATATGTCCACCTCTCATTATAATATTCATTTTCTCATAAATTGTTAACCAATCAGAGTTGATTTCCACCCTCAGAAGTACCCACTCTTCCAAGGGCATATAAGCATTCTGTGGGTTCCATGAGGGGTCTTTGGCATTTGAAAATGTCGCTGACCCCTTTTATTAATTATATGCTAGCATGATGAGTAAAATGATTAATTATCCAGAAACTATGTTTCTCCAACTTTTAAAGCATCACACTAAGTATTTCTATTCTTCCTTGTTGAGGAAAATGAGCCTTTACCACTCATTTAACATTTCTAGGAAGCAGCTAGGTAGCTCAGAGGATAGAACATTGGACCTGGAGTCAGGAAGATCTGAGTTCAAATCAGGCCTCAGACACTTATTAGCTGTATGACTCTGAATAAGTCACTTAACCCCTGTTTGCCTTAATCCACTGGAGAAGGAAATGGCAAATCACTGTGGTATCTTTACCAAAAAAATCCCATGGACAGTATGGTCCAGAGGTCATATAGAGTCACACATGGCTGAATGACTGAACAACATTGATACTTCAAAATCCCTTGAAGGTCAGGAAGAGGGAGTATGTCCAGATCAGAGTTAGGTTAGTTACCCCACCTCAAAAAAAGGGGTTTCTCAGACTATCTCCAGTTCTTAGCTGCCTTTTCCCCCCTTTGTGTTCCATTCCCTGAACACAAGTGCCTAACAGATATCCTGAGGTGGGTGCTTCTAGCCTGGCAACCTTATGAGTTTGAGAGGTAGGGAGCTCCCGGATCTGGGTGCCAGTTGCCAAGCAGGAGGTGACCACTGAAACACCTTCCCAAAGGAAAAGATGAACACCACCAGAAGATGAGGCCAAGTCATCTTCTACCTTGCCAGAAGATAGAGACTTTGAGTAAATTGTTCAGACGGTTCAGAGCCAAGGCAAAGGAGAAATGCGTGCTCTACAATCCCATGAAATGATTCATGTTTTGATTTTTTTAAGTCTCAGCCTCTTGGGAGAGAATAATAGGAGTAATGGGTTACTGTATCATGATTTAAGTGTCCATCAACTATTTGGATGAGTCTCTTGGTGCATTACTTTTGTGGTGGAGAAAACCAATAGCTTTCCTATTGAGGCATAATTAGCTAGAGAATATAAGAAAAGTTGGGCTCCCTTTGTGGGGGCGGCAGATTTCCCCTAGACTAAACCCCAAAACACTTGAACCCAGAGCCAGGCTTCTTAGGAGGAAGGGGAACTGCCTTAGATGTAAAATCCCTCAATCCTGGGTCAATTCCATGTGCCTGAGGACCTCAACTGAGGAGGAACTCACAACTTTCTGAGGCACCTCATTTCATTCATAGATAGCTCTAATTAGTGGGGAACTACTGCTCCTTACGTCAAGGCTAAATTACTGGTCAGATGTATGTCGTAGAGTTGTTTTTCAGGTATGGATAGGACTAGATGGCCTCTTTCAGTTTTAAAATTCTGTGACTCTGTGAAGGGTCTGTTCTTGAGATATCCAGGAGAAGGAAAGATATCAAAGGAGCAGGGGAAAAAAAAATCACAGGCCATACCATTACCCCAAAAAGTGACACTAGCAACTACTAACACATATGTTTATTTTTTAATCTCAGTAAAATCCTTTTGGGAAATGTCCATGAGTGCATGAAGGGTATCCATCCTCAATGAAAATATGAAAAGAAAAGAAGCAGCCTTTTCCCAATTGTTTGAGCACTGGTTCCAGATTCATAGAACCTGGGTTCAAATCTTGCCTCTGGGTCTCACTATCTGTGAGACCTTGTTTAAGTAGAATTTGATCCCAGGTATGTTCTGACTCCAAGTCCAGTGTTCTCTCCATGACACTACTCTGTCTTAGAGTGCTATATAAATATAATATGATTTTTTAATTTTTACTCTTATTAGTAAGGTCTAGTATAGCCAGGACTTTCCTTTTCTTTTTATTTCTTTTCCATGTCTATAGTACACAGTAGGCACTAAATAAATGATTATTGAATTAAAGTATAATTGGAAGGCTAAATATCC